GCGCGTGCGGCTGGCCGCAGTCGGACCGCAACCCGCGGTACGGCAGCCACGTGGTGCTCCTGCTGAAGATGCAGGCCCGCGGCGTGGCCCTGGCGCGCCCGCCCTGCTGCGTGCCCACGGCCTACGCCGGCAAGCTCCTCATCAGCCTGTCGGAGGGGCGTATCAGCGCGCACCGTGTGCCCAACATGGTGGCCACCGAGTGCGGCTGCCGGTGACCCTGCGCCCCAAGTGGCGCACTGGCCCGTATTTATCTGGAGCCCTTCATCAGCCCAGTAAAGAGCAGAAAGCACGTGGCTGGGGTGGCTGGTGTCTGGAGACAGGCCAGGGCCTCCTTCCGCCAGTTGTCACCCCCGCCGCCCTCTTGCCCCCGCCCCCACCTGAAGCTCCCAGCCCCTGTTACTCACGCCCCGGGCGGGTTCTGGGGTCCGGGCGCAAAAGAGCAAACAATGAAGGGGGCCCGGCACTGACTTTATTTTGCTGTAACCACGGGACGGGCGAGCGGAGGCCCAGGAACTCCCGGGTGGGGCCAGACTTGGCTCAGTCCCGCCCCTTGCCTGCGCGGTGCTTCCGGCGGCCCGGAGGCCGGCCCTCCTCGTCCGGCGAGGCCCAGGCCTGCTTCTTCCTGTACTCCGGGTCTCCGGAGTCTCGCGCCCACGGCCGGTGGCCCTCTTCGCGTGCCTCCCAATGCCGCGGTAGGGCTCTCCGGGGCTCCCCGGCAGCCCGTGGCCTCTCCTCTTTCCGTAGCTTCTCCCTCCGTGGTCTCTTCTCCCTTCTTGGCCTCTGTTCTTTCTGAGGCCTCTCCTTCCGCGGCCTCTCTTCCTTCTTCGGCCTCTCCTTCAACCTCCCCTTGGGCCCTCGGTCTGCAAGGGGCGCGGGCTCCTCCCCAGCGGTCTCCTCAGACTCCCCTTTGTACTTCCCTGCAGCCTCCCTGCTCCCGGGGACCTTGGCCCTTTCCTCTACCTTCATCTGGGGCGCAGGCGGTCCCAGTGGGGGAGCCCAGGTCACGGGCTTTGGCTGCAATGCGGACAGTGTGGGGTGGTGGGGTCAGAGCAGAATTCCACGGGGGCCCAGGCCCCTTCCCCCAATGAGAGCCCCACTGACGGGTCACTTGAAGGAAGTGCTTACCAGGGCCGATGCAGGACCCTTCGGGGCTGAGCTTGGCGGGACCCACGGTTCAAGGACAGGCACAGGGGCTTCCGCTTCCCCAGCCATAGCCTCTGGGAAGGGCCAGGAGGGGATGTGAGTCAGCCTGAGCCGCAGAGCCGACCACACGGTCCATCCCAGCCCTTTCCCCTAGAGCCCCCTCTTCCTGGGGACAGGCAGGAGGGCTCAGCCAAGCCAGACTCCACCGGGTACCCTGAGGCTGGGCTGAATCCGTCCGAGCCCTGGGAAGGGGCTCCGGGTCTCCTCTACGGCGGAAGCCTTTCCTTCAAAGCTCCCTCATTCAGGCAGCAAAAGGATGCTCCCCGTTTCTCCGAGGGCGGTAGGAGCGCCACGGCGCAAGGAAAGCGGCACACTACCGAGTGGGGGTGCACACAGCCCATCCTGGGCATGCAAGGCCGGTAGGGGTGGGGCTGAGGGCCTCTTCTCAGGGAGGGAGGTGCACCAAGGTCCCTACTGAGACGGGAAGGGCTCCGTGGAAGGTCCGTGGTGGGGACGCGGGCGAGGCTCAAAGCCGGTCCTGGATAGAGGATCTCAGACGCCACCCTGGGGGCGCACAAGGCCGGAGCAGGAAGTGCAGGGGGCGGGTCCCAAGGTCCATACTAGGGGGCAGGGGGCGCGCACTGCCTGGGGTGGGGGTCCAAGACCCAACTCTGAAGGGGAGGCGCACAGACCGGCCCCCCGGAAGCAGCCACGCGTGGGGCGCAGCTCACCGCG